TAAGTTATTTATTGTAATTTAAATAAAGTTATTTTATTAAGAAATTATTGAACATTGCATAACATTTATATTTCTTCTAGAAATGGATTCCAAGTACATTATTATTTACAAAGTAATTAATACGAATTATAAATACCCTTGCCGCAGCAAACCTGCAGACTAAGTGATTTTCCATTTACCTGGCTGGATGTATACTAAAATATTCCCTAAAAATTGTCAGATGTATTTCCTATTTAATTTACATTAATTTTAGTGACTACTTAGGTTTGTTGCTACAGGGAAGATATTGTGATGTATTTTTTATTGCAATGTCAATAGCTTAGTATTAAATAAACCAAATTTCCAAATTTGGTTTAAATATATCCATAAACAAGCAAACTACAACAGTGTATTTATTCTTTATAAGAATAACGTATAAATTTAAATTTAAATTTTTTTATTATTCCCGTAACCGTTGGGCATACAACGCTTTAATATACAAATATTTTTTTTTTTGTTTAAGCTGTACAAAATGGTTTGGAGAGAAATTATGAAATTTTGTGCTTTTAAAGTCAAAAATGGGAAAATCGATTTTTACCCCATAAAACCCCCCATAAACCCCCGCTCCCATAGTACGATTATGATGGTTCGTGAACTCATTAGAATAAATGTAGGCTTACACATGTGTACCACATTTCATCAAAATCGTTGTTGTATGCCCAACGGTTACGGGGATAATAAAAAAAATTGTAATTTTAAATTCCCATGTTATTCTTATGGAGAATAAATAAACTGTTGAAGTTTGCTTGTTTCTGGATATATTTAAACAAAATTTGGAAATTTTGTTTATTTAATACTAAGCTATCGACATTGCAATAAAAAAACATCTCAATATCTTCCCTGTAGCAGCAAACCTAAGTAGTCAATAAAAATTAATGTTATTAAATAGGAATTAATAAATCTGACAATATTTAGGAAATATTTCAGTATAAATCCAGCCAGGTAAATGGAAAATCACTTTGTAAATAATAATGTACTTGGAATCCATTTCTAGAAGAAATATAAATGTTAAATATGCAATGTTCAATAATTTCTTAATAAAATAACTTATTTAAATTACTATAAATAACTTAATATTGGTTCGATATTCATCACCAGATACTCAATGGATGCGGAATTTTATATTCTACAATTCCTTTATTGTGTGTTTTTCTGTAGGCTGGACGGTTCTTTGACGTTTTAATAAAAACTAAAAAATAACCCTAAATTTTAAGGTTTTTGGGGTCCCAGGTCAGAAGCTCACCTGGAGAAATGGGACAAACTTCAAATCATTTTACTTCTATATAAAACAAAAGGATTAAAATGATTTCCAGCTTTCCGAGAATTATTTCCAGGCACAGCCAATTTTTTAACTAATTTTACTGGCCTACAAACACAGTGGTAGTTTCCAAATGCCCTGTAATACTTTTACTGTATTCTTTGATCAATGAATTTCACCTGAGTAATTTTCCTGTGCTGTATTTGGATCTATATTAGTTAGCTAATAAGCATGTTATGATTCTTTGCTTTATACATCCACGTTGATATCTTGTAACCATCATAGCAAAGCAACTTCAAGGCTAATGCAACAAAAATCAAGTTTGTTTTACATTGTACAGACATTATCAAATTGAAAAGTATTTGTTTAATAACATGAACACTGCTTGTTGAAACAACCATAGAAGGTTTGGATTCAATATGTTCAGCTGTTATTGAGTTAATTTAATAAGGCTTGATGACTTCATTACTAGGCACGCAATATACACTCCTTCTAGCATTGTGGGCCTGCAGTATTTACAGGGTGTCTAGTTTATTTCCATTATAAAATTCAAGACTAATTCCAGACTTTTCAAGACTAATTCCAGATTTTTCAAGACTAGTTTTATCAACAATTAGTGCGTGTTGATACCAAAATGTATCGATTCACGATTCTTGATACCGATACCAATTTTTATAGCTTATAACCAAATTTTCTGAATAATACTACACCAACCCCTGTCTTTGTCATAAAGTAGTATTATGATAATGTGGTGTTTTCAAGTAAAGAAATAATGCAGCAATAAAAAAATTCTAACTAGCAAATTGGTTTTTTTTTATCATGAAATCTTCCACGTACCGTACGTTTAGACATCATCATTGACTGCAGCGGTTACAGAAACGTGATCGTCGTCGTCCGCGATCACGGCAAAATCATGAACATTTCCCGCGGCCTTGTAGACATCAATGACATCATCGTCGTCTCCCGCTGTCCCAGAAACGTCATCGTCCGCGATCGCGGCAAAATCATGAACATTTCCCGCGGCCTTGTAGACATCAATGACATCATCGTCGTCTCCCGCTGTCTCAGAAACGTCATCGTCATCGTCCGCGATCGCGGCAAAATCATGAACATTTCCCGCGGCCGTGTAGACATCATCGTCGTCTCCCGCGGTCATGGAAACGTCATCGTCGTCTACCGCGATCACGGAAACGTCATCGTCATCTCCCGCGGCCGAGCAGATATCATCGTCGTCTCCCGCAGTCACGGAATCGTCATCGTCGTCTCCCGCGGTCATGGAAACGTCATCGTTATCTCCCGCGGTCACGGAAACGTCATCGTCATCTCCCGCGATCGCGACAAAATCATGAACATTTCCCGCGGCCGAGCAGATATCATCGTCGTCTCCCGCGGTCACGGAAACATCATCGTCATCTCCCGCGGTCACGGAAACGCCATCGTCGTCGTCCGCGATCGCGGCAAAATCATGAATATTTCTCGCGGCCGAGCAGATATCATCGTCGTCTCCCGCGGTCACGGAATCGTCATCGTCGTCTCCCGCGGTCACGTAAACGTCATCGTTATCTCCCGCGGTCACGGAAACGTCATCGTCATCTCCCGCGATCGCGACAAAATCATTAACATTTCCCGCGGCCGAAACGTCATCGTTATCTCCCGCGGTCACGGAAACGTCATCGTCATCGTCCACGATCGTGACAAAATCATGAACATTTCCCGCGGCCTCGTCCACGATCGCGGCAAAATCATGAACATTTCCCGCGGCTGTTTAGACATCACCGTGATCTCCAACGGTCACGGAAATGTTATCGTCATCGTCCGCGATCACGGCAAAATCATGAACATTTCCCGCGGACGTGTAGACATCATCGTCGTCTCCCGCGGTCACGGAAACGTCATCGTCATCTCCCGCGGTCACGGAAACGTCATCGTCGTCGTCCGCGATCGCGGAAAAATCATGAACATTTCCCGCGGCTGTTTAGACATCACCGTCATCTCCCGCGGTCACGGAAATTTTATCGTCATCGTCCGCGATCACGGCAAAATCATGAACATTTCCCGCGGCCGTGTAGACATCATCGTCGTCTCCCGCGGTCACGGAAACGTCATCGTCATCTCCCGCGGTCACGGAAACGTCATCGTCGTCGTCCGCGATCGTGACAAAATCATGAACATTTCCCGCGGCCGAGCAGATATCATCGTCGTCTCCCGCGGTCACGGAAACGTCATCGTAGTCTCCCGCTGTCACGGAAACGTCATCTTCGTCTCCCACAGTCACGGAAACGTCATCGTAGTCTCCCGCTGTCACAGAAACGTCATCGTCGTCTCTCGTGGTTTCGGAAACGTCATCTTTGTCGTCCACTATCGCGGCAAAATCGTGAACATTTCCCGAGGCCGTGTAGACATCATCATTGGCTTTTGCGGTTACGTAAACGCAAGACGACGATCGCGGCAAAATCATGAAAATTCCCGACTTTGAAATCAAATTTAAGACTAAATCCCGACTTTCAAGACCATTTTGAAATTCAATACTAATTCCCGACTTTCCCGATTTTCCCGACTACTAGACACCCTGATTTACCGTATGCAGGAGCTTGGACGTCGTGCAACAGCGCTGAGCTATATTGGACGTCGTGGACCCGTCAAATATTTATTGGACGTCGTGCAACTGGCAGTGGCTTTGGACGTTGTGCAAATGAAACTTTTTTACAATTATATAGTGCGCTGTTTCATGACGCCCAAAGCTTGTAGAAAGACTATATTTTTTGCAGTTACTGTACTTTTGGACCTCGTGCACCAGTCAAATATTTTATATTGGACGTTGTGCAACAGCTGAAAAATTATTTTTTGGACGTCGTGACACTGAATAATATTATTGGACATTGTGGCACTTGGACGTCGTGCAATGCATCCATATATATATATATCCATATATACAATGTATCCATATATACAATGTATCCATATATATATATATGTATATGTGTCCGTGAACGCGATAACTTGAGTAATTTTTGTCGGATTTTGATGAAATTTGGTTTAAAGGTGTAAAGCGGGATAAACTTGAATGAGTTCGTGAACCAGCATGATCGGACTATAGGAACGGGGGTTTATGGGGGGTTTTATGGGGTAAAAATAGTTTTTCCCATTTTTGACACTAAAAACACATTTCACAATTTCTTTCTAAACCATTTTGTAGAGCTTAAAAAAACAAATAATCTAGTATATTGAAGCGTTATTATGCACCTAATGGTTACAAAGAAAATTAAAAAAAAATTGTAATTTTAAATTTTCCATGTTATTCTTATGGAGAATAAGTCTTACTGTCATAGTTTGCTTGTTTATGAACATATTTGGATCAAATTTGGAAAATACATTAATTTTTACTTAACTACAGTACCTTTTAACATTTTACAAAAAAATAAAACACTTTTTTACCCTCCCTGTTGCAGCAAACCTTCTGCAGGTTTGCTGCGGCGGGGGTATTTTTAACTACACACACAGTGACGATCACAACACCAGACTTGTAGCGCAGATTCTCCAGCAGGGTCTTAGGCACGCTGGAGCTGCTGGATCTCACAGCGAGAACTAGCTGCTGAAACAAACCCCTTGTGACAGGGGCATTCATGGACAGTTGGTGCATGGCTGAAGTGATGAATTTTTTAATATATTGAAACAGTGTTGACACATGAAATAAAACAACAAATAGAAGAATCTATACTTGTATTTCCTCTGTAATAAATTACACAAAAATGTCAAACCAAATTAGACCGGATCAGCGACTATTTCATAATACAGATCGAGTCCAATCTAACCTGCATGCATACTTACAAGTGGGAGAAGGGGCAGCTAACAAAAATAAAGTGCCGTCAATTTTTTGCACTATTATTTTCACAGTAAATTTGTTGTATATTTACAAAACGAATGTATATATCAATTTACAACATTCAAATGTGTATATGAAAATTGTCCATAACCTTAATTAGATGTATAACTAAATAGTTGCTTCGCTAGCACACATATTGTATGAATTGACTAACAAAATATGAAATCTAGTACAATACATTAAAACAATGTACAAACGAAAATAGGACTTAGCCGATACCCTGTTGATTCAGTTGCAAAACTGAAGAAAGCTAAAAAAACCTCAACCTTATTTTACTTTTGTCACCGTTATTGGATAAATCGTTACCACAGTAGTCATCCTTCAAATCACAGCCTCAATAAAAAAGATCAACCTAAATTTTGGCTTTCCAATCAGTTTTATCCATATTGAATCATCAGTACCTAAATAAAATTATCGATTGCACAATAGATATGAAGGTATCAACTCAGTCCTGGAACTGTTTTTGCTGTTAAGAGCACCTTTACACAGCTCCACTCTAAAATATCAACTCACGAGACTTTGTCCATGGGGCTTTGGCTTGTCTACAATTTTTTTCTAGCTAATAAGACATAAACAAATTGAAATTTACACATTAAAAGACACTTATATAATTAATAATTAAGTAAAAATCGCACAAGGACAAACTGTCACATAAATTCATCTATCTAAATAAATATTTTCTGATGAACTTCGGGGAAAGCGATTTTAATATAAAATAATACTATAGTTAAAAGTCGATTAAAGCACTATAAAAATAATAAATAATTCTAACTAATAGTGGAAAATTATACTACGATGAGAGCAGAGTGGGACGAACTATGGGGACATCACAAACTGTCATCACATATAAGATGTAATGATTACAATAAACACAGTAAATCCATAGCAAACAAATAACAACTGATGTGTTAAATGATAAAATTTTAATGGACGAAAGACAAAACAGTGGTCACCCACCCTGCTCAAGAGTTGTTGCTTAAAATACATAATCAGCTGTTGCCATGTCAATGGCCCAACGGAACTTATCCCTCTGAGTCTTGTTGTAGATCTTCTCGATGGGAATATCATACTTCTTACACCTGTAAAACGAGATTCACCTTTGCAGTTGAATAGTACTAACAATGGCATCAGTTTAACAATTGGTATTTGACTGTTGGACTCGCCATATAAATTAAATGCCAAACTGCATTCATTATAGTCACTTTTTTGTGACATTTTGGCCAAAAGAAAACTGAACCGAATCTCCAGCATCAATATTCACTAGACATAGCTAGTTCACCTCCATACTGTCACTTAACAAACATGATGACATTAAAAATGTAATTGATTTGATAACTTTTGATCATGCAAACTTTTTAACAAGGCCATATTTAAGAATAACTTATTGCTTGTCATACCAACTATCTTGCTATTAAAAGATATAAAAACGATTTTTGACATCAGGTCTCTCTGTAAATACTAACTCAACCAATTTCTAATTCAATAAAATTTTCAACTGCTGGGATATTTTCAATACATGGGATATCTACTTCAGTAGCTATCAGTCTATGAAAATATCCCAGATGATTTTGATGACAACAGTTAGGTAGAAAAGTTAACAAAATATTTCACTAGCACTAGGTCTACTTTCTGACAACCTTTGTGTATTTAAGTGGATGTCACTCACCAAGCCACTGATATCCTAGGGTCCAGGTAGTTGAGCTTGGATGTTCCCAGAGCGATACACTTGTTCTCTTCCTTGTCGGTTTCCTGCAGTTCCAGTTTCAGGAGTTGTTCTCTGAGTCTTTCCAGAGTCTTCTTAGCCTTGTCTGCAGCACTACATTCAGAAAAGATTATTGTAACTTAGTTTTGTTCCAGGAAAGGCTTTAGGCCAGGATTTTGTAGGCCATAGACAAAGGGGGCTTTGCCAAAGTGCCCTCTATGTCTACATCAGAAAAAGTCCCCCAGTGGATGAAATATTGTGTATTTTATGAGTCTTCTGCGTGTTCTATGGCCTACCTGTACTTATTCTGAATAATACAGTAGAACCTCTAATTTAGATTAGAAAATCTGATTTTTCCTAGAATAATTAAAAACCATACAACCACAACAAAAAGTAAATTTTTTCACTCCACTAATGTTATATTAAGTGTATTATACATTATTAGCTAACTTACATTTTTTCCTTAGCCGAGCCGTTCTTGGCGTCTCGTTTGGCGTGCTTGAAATTTTTCTCTGCTTCCTCAACAGCAGCTCGTTTATTGGCCAGTTTCTCTCTCAGATTGGCCATAGATTTGTCGTGTGTCTTGGGCACAGCACGTTGATGGTTACACAAGATGGCCACAGCACGGTTGGCACGGTTGTACGCTAACAGCTGTTATACAATTTATTGTTTAGAATGGCAAAAATTGTGTTATGTTATGAGTGGTTTATTTTTCATTAGAGAATCCCATGTACAGTAGACCCCCTCTTAACCAACCCTAATGGGACCGGACCTATGTCGGATAACTCAAAAGGTCGGATAAAACGGACAATCCCTAAAATCATAACATAATGAAGTGATATTCATTTGGAAATATATAATCATAATATTAGTAAGATTATTTTGAAGTCATAGGAATAAAGTCATTATTTATAAAATAAACTACTCTTATCTCCTTTTTCATATTGATAGAAAAGTCACAAATAAACACAAAACACGGTTAAGTCAAATAGGCCTACTTTCAGTGGAATATATTCAGGGCTGTGCGAATCCAGAAATTTTGGTTCGAATCCGAATCCGAATCATAGCTGTACAGATTTTATCGAATCCGGATCGAATCCGAATATTTTAATTAATCCCGAGTCGAATCTGGGTCGAATCCGAATCTCAAATTTACAGCCATTATCGAACCTGGATCGAATCCGAATCTGAAATTTAAAGCTGTTATCGAATCCGAATATTTAAACCTGTTCAGAGTCGAATCCAAATCCGAGGAAAGTCAGCAGTACCAATTTTCACATTTTTAGACCACATTTTCTGGGGCTGAAATAACTTAGGGAATTGCTTAAAAAAATTCTTGAAATGGGCCAAATAAAAAAGTTATAAAATTTAGGCCTACCTATTTGAAGTTTTGAAACTAAAAAATTGGGCATAAGTTAGGCATACCACCTAGGCCTAAGTTACTCGCTAAAAGTGGTGGACTGCCAATTTGTGTAGTCTAAAACATAGGCCCAGCCTATTATACACCTCGGTGTTAATCCTCCACACAAGCCTATGTCTGCATTACTATTACAAGTAACAACTAACACTGTGAGGTTAAGTTTACTGATAGCCAAGATAGGGTTCAAATGCGACCTACACTAATGTGCCTAAAGCCTAACACCAAGTTGGTCAGGTTCCTAACATGAACCAGTCAACAGCAAATCGGAGTGCACAAGTAGTTTTTTAGTGTCAAAAAAATTATATTGAAAATTATATTCAATCAGAATCTAGTAAATTTGAATATCGAATCCCAACTCGGATCTATTTTCAAGAAATTCGAATATCGAATCCGAACCCGGATTTCTTACCAGTAAATTCGAATATCGATTCCGAATCCGAATCCAGTTAGAAACAGTAGATTCGTTCTCGAATCCGAATCGAATCTCTAAAAAGATTCGGATTCGATTCGTTTTTCGAACTATTCGCACAGCCCTGAATATATTATAATACTAGGCAAGAGTCAATAAATTTCCTATTTTAATAACTTTAGTACTGTAATGTATTAATTGATGCTTTCAAATACATCATAATACAGTACAGAACCTTTTGTCGACATTAAAGATACAAGCGACAATTTTGTTACAAAACAGGACGTTTATTTATAGCCTCTCACTGGAGGCACAAAAACTATCTTGACCTTGGAGTTGTTAACCCCCCTTCCCTGCCTTCCCTACAAGTTGCGTTGTTTGTTTACTCCGGCGATAAGATAATCAGTTCTCAAAATCGTAACGCACTTTATGATGTTATAAATTTGCCGCACTCGCACAGATAACAAATCAGATCAGATGTGCTCGAGCTACGAACGATGATGACAAACTGACAATAGGCTATGCTATATTTTTTGTGATCAACACAAAATAACTTATTGTTAGTCATATCCTGTGGAGATAAGCGTATGGTTCAGTTCTCATCGCCCAGCGTGGGACCGGAAATGCCGAGATTCCTAGAAAGCGGCGGTTAAACCGAGCTGCTCTCAAAGCAAGGTCGGTTAAAACAAACTGTATTATTTTACGATCAAAGGCGGATAATCCGATTATCGGTTAATACGAGGTCGGTTAAGAGGGGGTCTACTGTATATAATGACACAGTTGTTCTAAGTGCTAGAATAGTGTATTAGGAACTAAAATAAAGTAAAAACAGTAAACAGTAAACTACTGGGGAACTGTAAACCTGTGCAACTTAAGTGAGTCCAATGGCATATTTTCCAACATTTTGTGACATTTTTGCTAATTGCTATTTGCTATTAAATGGCTATCTGTATTGAATAAAGTCTGTATTGATGAAGGTTTGCTGTAATTTAATGTTCAACAAAAGCCTAATTTTGTGTTGTTTACACTTTTCAAATACTTAAAAAGTGTCAATTGCTATTATACACTACATAAAATATCTTTTTACATTTACTTTTTGGTATGTAACATATAGCAAAATAAAATGTAATGACCTTTATTATTATTAAAGCTTATACATTGTAAAAATGTTATCAAGTCTTCAAAGAATCATTTTCTTATCATTTTCAAATGATAGGAAGTAGTTTGCATTCCTATTTCCTTATCGCTTTCAAACAGTTGTAGATATTACAATCAACATGAGTAAACTGAAGTGTTGATAAGCCTTAGCATTTTTTTGATTGGGTAACAGGTACCTTACCCAAAAGTACTTTTAATTAACACCTTCACTTCAGATGACAAAAAATCTCGTCACCGCTAGCGTTTTCCAGTGGCCTTGCGACGAGTATACTTCGTCAAAGCACTGTTTACAGCAACGATTTAAAGCGACGTTATTTCACTTGTCGCTTATTGTGTTAGTGTTATATTTCAATCTGGTATAGTTCGTTTTCTGATCTGACTATTTTATTGGTGGTAGGGGGGAACGGTTACAAATTTATTGTAGTGTGGGGTTTAGGCTTGGATTGAATGCAATAGAATAACGTTAATGAATGTACTGTAGCATTGTGGAAGGAACCTAACCTCAAAATTGTGCTTGACCGATTTTTCGCAGTAATTTTTGATAGTGTAGGGCCTATCCGGGTAATTCACCCCTACTTTTTCCCTCTATTTGACAATACCGAGGGCCGGCTAGCAGTATTGTTTAGTGCTGATATCTGTTGGGTTCTTGTAAAACTACGTCCACAACGACTGGGATATGTGGGGTATATGCCTCCCATCTGGATGAAACTAAATTTAAACGTTTTCGTGCACTCGTACACGCAGCGCATTAGATTTAGATGATTGTGCCACCAGCAATCAATACAACCTCCAATAAAACAACCTCCATCACTATTTTTCACCAATATGTCCAAGGTCTTAGGAAAAAGATTGAAAGAATAAATCATCTAATGAGTGAACTCAAACCCACTATCTTGGTGATTACTGAACATGGACTCAGCTCAGATATGTTATTACTCACCAAGATTAGTGGCTACAACCTAGTCACATATTCCAGCAGGGAAAATCATAGAATGGGAGGGATTGCAATTGCAATCTATAAAATCTATATCCAGTAAACTGCTGTCATCAAGGCGGAAGAAATAGAAATCTCCAAACAAAGTGTAGAGTTAGTTTTTGAAGCATTAGTAAAAATAAGGATAAAGAACAAAACCCTCTATTTACTTGGTATGTATCGACCACGAGCGGGACAAGGTAGGTTAGCCATTGACATCCTATCAGAAATTCTGGAGTCACTTCAAGCTGACACCAAGGCCGTTGTATTAATGGGCGATATCAATATAGACAGGCTAACTGAAAATGCCAGTAGTAACTATCTTGAAGAGGAACTGTCAACTTTTGGAGTTAGAAGACTACCGCTCCCAGCGACAAGAATCACTAAAACCATTCAAGAACCTCTATAGACTGTATCTGTACGAATACACATGATAATGCTATAGATTTTGCTATAATTAACGCTGGAATAGCAGATCACACAGGTCAAACATGTACCCTCAAAATACAGAGTGAAGTTACTGCTAAAATTAAAACGGAGATGTCACAAAAAAGAATTTTTTCAAGAAAAAACCTGGAAAGCATGAAAGACGAACTCTCCAAAGAAAACTGGATTGAGGTACACAATGCCCCTGATGCTGAAGAGGCATACTCTGCATTTCAAAAGACTTTTTAAGGCTCATATTGGACCATGCCTGCCCTTTCAAAAAAATAAGAGCTGAGCAGAAAGGACAGAAAATGAAGGTTCAGTATGGTGAAGAAGTCAAAATACTAAAAGAAGATTTTCTAGATGCCTTGCACCGATACGAGCTTACCGGAAATGTAAATGATAAAACAGCAATGGCGGAAAAAAAGAAAACATATGATTTAAAGCTCAGGTCCCTTAAGCGACAAGCCACTGCAGAATACATCAAAAGTGCTGATAATAAATCCAAAGCTGTCTGGGAGACCATTAACACAGAAAAACAATGTAAACAGAAAGAAGAACCAAATCTGCAGCTGGAAATAGAAGGAACAATAGTGCATAACCCTACTGACATTGCTGAACACCTAAACCAATATTTTGCATAAATAGCAGACACCACTTTAGAGAAAAATAGAAACCAATTCAAAAACTAAAAAATTACACATCCACTACTTCTACCACAAAGCAATATCCAGCCACTAAAATTAACACCTACAACCATTAAAGAAGTCTTAGCAACAATAGCCTCACTGAAATCAAAGCTGTCATGTGGAGTAGATGAAGTGCCATCAAAAGTTGTAAAACACTGTGCCGAACAACTGGCAGCTCCACTTGTCAGCATAATAAACAAATCTTTTAGCCTTGGACAATTTCCCTCCGCCCTAAAAATAGCAAAAATATACCCAAAGTATAAAAAAGGCTCTCACACTAAACAAGAAAACTACCGCCCTATCTCATTAATATCGACCTTATCAAAAGTAATAGAAAAGATTGCACTGTCAAGAATGCTGAGTCACTTGGAAAGCAATGCTCTCATCACTAAAAACCAACATGGTTTTCTCAAAGGGAGGTCCACCACCACAGCTATAACTAGTCTAATAGAACAAATCATTGACCATCTAGAAGCACACAGACATGTATCAACAACCAACAGTCTTACTTAACTACAGTAAAGCATCTGACTGTCTGGGCCATAATCTCATCATAAGGAAACTCAGAGCTCTAGGAATAGAGGGAATGGCCAAAGACTGGGTGGCAAGCTATTTGAAAAAACGTACACACATTGTCGAAATGCAGCAAAACACAAATGGAATAAAATCTGTACATAGGTCCACACAACTTTCAATTAACAGAGGAGTGCCCCAAGGCTCAGTCATGGGCCCATTTTTATTCATCCTTTTCACCAATGATTTTCCAGATTTCATTATGAATGACAATTGTGAAACAATAATGTACGCAGATGACACAACTCTTCTATTTATGCATGACTCACCACAAGAATTACACTCCAACATCTTATCCTCAACAGACAAAGCACTGCAGTACTGCCTTCAAAATGACCTGGCCATTAATCCATCAAAAACAACCCAGTTAAATTTCAGCCGAAAACATGAACAAATCCAAGAAATTCCTGAAATAACCGTTGAAAAAAACTCAAAACTGCTGGGCCTGACAATTGATGAAGACCTCTCCTGGAACGACCACATACACAACCTGACCAAGAAACTTGCATCTGGAGTCCATGTAATAAAGAGGATGAAATGGCTAGGAGGTCTGGAAAAAGCTAAGACAGCATACTATGCTGTAATAGAATCACATATAAGGTATTGCTTAATATCTTGGGGAGGAACATCAGAAGCAAACCTCAACAAAGTGTTGGTACGCCAGAAAAAAGCTGTCAGGGCACTCTCCGGCCTTGAGTCCTTAGACAGCTGCAGGGAAGCATTTAAATCCCTTAAGCTCCTAACAGTGACAGCACTCTACATCCATGGAGTTGTCCTGTACACAAAAAATACTGAACCTTCCCAGAAATGAGAATTTTCACTCCTACGACACCAGAAAAGCAGCCGACTAAAGCCTTCCGATCCACCACACTACACAATACAGTAGAAAACCCTCTTATATTGGCCGAAAAATCATCAACTCTCTTCCAAACAACCTTAAGAACGCAACAGGAAACCAACTCAAACAGCAACTCTGGGACTGGCTTGTGGACCGACCGGTGTACTCCCTTAAGGAATTTTTTGACCAATTATGAACTTTCAACACAAAGAAAATGTAAACTGTTAAAACAATCTAAATGTTAAACATTCTGGATTTTTGTGACGCAATTGTATTTCTTAAAGAAATCACAAATAAAGAAAATTGTCTGTTGTCTATTGTCGCACAGCTTCATTGAACACGTTAAAGTAGTTTATTATTACAAATTAAAATTGTTCCTCCAATTTCATTCATTCTTTCTTAAAACAGTGTATGCATGGTTAAGAGTTCTGCCGGATGGTTTAAACAATTTACAGTCAAAGGAATAAATTCTTCCTTTATTTAATCTCATCCCAGTGGCAAATTGCGAGTTGTTTACAGGAAGTAATGACTTGTATTAGAAAATATTTAAACTGGAATATAAGAACCGTTCTTCAGTTCCATCATGACTACTACTCACAGGTATTGAACGAACATAAAGAAGTCAAATGTTAAGTTAATTGAAACCATCAAGGATCAAATTAGAATTATAGTAAATTTGATTACCTTCTCAGCAACAGTGGTGTCAGGGTCCGTAAGTTCTTTCAGTTGAGCTTGCAATGTCCACGAAGCGTTGTACGTACGGAACACCTTGGCCGTTAGTCCATCCATGAGATCAGACAAGTGCTTGTTTAAAACAGCCGTCTGCAAAACAGAAACACATGGCCAAAATAGGGGATTAGAGAACTCAAAGCCAAAACAACTACATAGGCTATAACAAAATGAAGAAATACTACTAAGTGCATACATTTTAAATTAAAAATATATATTTGTCCTCTGTATCCTCAATAAGAATTATATATAAAATCACCAATTAAGTTCATGACGGTTGCTGGTGAATAATTAGGCCTACTACAACACAGACCTAAAGTATCATTTTTAAATGAAAAAGGGTCTATCAAATTTAAAGCAAGATAAAAAGATTTCTTAATCAAGATCAAGATATCCCTTAGTTCTGTTGAGAAACGTTTGGCGTGCCTGAAGGATATTAGATCAGGAAATGTAAATTATATTAATGTGCATGTGGTTTAAACGTGGTGCAAATTTCATGACACTGTTCAAGTGTAACCTGTGGGCCTACTTTGAGTGAAAACAAATTTTGTAATTGAGTAGATAGAGATGTTTTAAACCCAACTTACTTCCTACAGATTGCCAACTCTCTTTAAACAATTTGTTTGAGAAGTGGTTTGACTTACAGTATACTTTGGATCTTACATTTTTAAGGAGTTTTCGGTATTAATAGTAAAATAGCAACTCAAAACTTGATACCAAACTCACATTTAATCTGTCAAAGAGATCGTCCTGTGGTTTTTTGTTCTCCATGAACAACATGAGATTTTTGAAAACTCTCCTTTCTACCGGAACTTCGTTGTAGTATCTAATGGAGTCTTTACCTAAGAAGTCAAACACCACAACATTCTCCTTGCCTGAAATCAGAAATGACAGAAACAATTTAAAACAGTTATGCAACTGTAATAAAATTTGTGAAAAGAGTTTCAAAGTTTGCTCAATAACTGTATGTTTAACAGTTTATTTCAGAACAAATTTAAATTTATTGTAAGGCCAATTAATTAATTTAGGCCACATTATCCAGAATAATGTGTTTTGCAGTCTCATCGGACTGGTTACAAAGTCGACACTCCTGCTTGTCATTGACAATTCCTAGAGTGTGGAGATGTTTCCTGAAATGGCCGTGTCCAGTGATAAGAGCAAGTACCTGCTTGACCTGCCCTCTCCCCAGCTTTAGCAGCCAGCGAGTGAAGAGGGTGCTAGGTTCTGAGAGCAGTTTTTTGCCAAGTGATTGTCCAGGATAATTACACCAACGCTCAAGATGTTGTCCCCTGGACCATTTGTTGATTACATGTTTGGCGGCCGCTTTGCTGATGCCACAAAATGGCTCTGGTCCAAAGAGTGGCATGCTCGCACCTTTTTTTGCCAGCTTGTCTGCACTCTCGTTGCCGCCAATGCCTACATGGCCTGGGACCCAGCCAAGAGTTACAGAGTTCTGTGATGCAAGTCTGCAGAGGGTGTTGAAACACTCCCAGACCAGTTTTGAGGTGACTTCATTTGAGTCAAGAGCTTTGAGAGCAGCCTGACAATCAGATAAAATCACTATCCTTTTGTCTTGGTACCGTCTGGCTAGTCCTAGGTTGGCACAAGCCAAGATGCCATAGATTTCTGCCTGGAAGATGGTACAGTATTGTCCCAGACTTCCTGATAGTTCTGTTCTGGGTGATCGACAGTAAACCCCAAAACCAGATTTTTCATCGATTAGGGAGCCGTCTGTGTACCAGACGAAGCTCTCCATATCTTGGAGATTCCCTTCCTGATGTCCCTAACAAACTTATACAACATGAACCAATATAGGCTATATAATACAATTAACAACCTAAAAAAAAATTTTAGTACATGATGTTGAATGTGCTGTGGTCTATACTTGAGTGGCTGGTTTTTTTATTAATTAAAATTTAATTAGTGACACAGTTGTGTTGTGTAACAAGAGTGTTAAATAAAAACAACTAAGTGGTAAAATTACTTACCGTATTTAATCTCATCCCAATGGCAAATCGCGAGTTGTTTACAGGAAGTAATGACTTGTATTAGAAAATATTTAAATCTCTTACAAACTGATGGAACCTACGTCACTATGTCAGTTGTCTACAAATTATCTTTAAAGATTGCCTGATAAAGCAAATATTAAATACACTACAATTGTGTATTTCAGATTTTAATGACAGAAAATGCGGGCGCTAAAACGTCGAGGGTTTAAATTTTAGTTTGAAAAATGAAGCAAACAATTTGTTTTCAAAATCATTAAAAACACAAGCAGTGGTCCAAATGATGTTGATTTGCATGACCATGATGACGTATTTTTTACATAAAAAAAGAGCTTAATATTTGATAACCAAGAAAGTATAAATTTGCACATTTAATTCCCTATAGGTGTAAGCATGTTTGTCTTATTTTGATTTTAAACAAAGACGGTCATGAGCTGAACCAGTAGAACCTACCATCTTTCTCCTCCATCAACTGAATGTGCTCCACACGCAGAGAGCAGCAGCCGACTGTGTCCGCTTGGTCCTCGTCTTTCTCGTTACCCGCTCTCAGCGCAAGCTGTGACAATGTAAAAATTAAATCTGCTGAGAAGTTACATCAGAACAATACCTAGTTTTAGGACAAAGCACAATAGTGTGCAATCTATTCTTTCATAAACTTAAATATAACATGAATCAGCCTCTGCAATATTTACATTAAAAGAGCTACAAAATGGATAATGTGTACATGGAAAAAAAACATTAATCTCTTTTACAAAATTAATTTGCTACAGTATAAAATACATTGGGGGTGAAAGGTTAAACTTGGGTATGAAATGGTTTAGCAGTATGCAAGAGAACTTAAGGTAGACACAATGTTATCCTATAGAACACAAGTAAGAGTATGCAATATTTTCAGCTTTGCTTAATTTCATACATTTTGATAACTTCTGGGAACGTTGTCATAACTTCTGGGAACGTTGTCAAAATATTGATTGATTCACTTAGTATACTGAATTATACATCCCATTATATAGCCCAGTCAGATGTGTACAAAGAGTATATAGTTGAATGATCATTCCATACACTGTGTTGCTGTCAAAATTATTTTTCTTCATACTTTTCAATGCCATTATAGTAACTGTTTGTATGTGATAAGATAAGTCATTCTTTCAACTTGGTTTAGTTCAAAGTGTAAAAGAAAAAAATCAGTTACATTGCCAGCCACAAACTATGTAGAAGGCTTAATTCAACTACAATATTTTTTTTGTTCCAAAACAGGCAACAACTTTAACATGGGAAGGAGACGTCTACGTCAATCCATTATCAAAGGCAGGCAAACCTAATTAATAATGTGATGTACTAATTAATATTTTTGTTCTTTTACAATGAACTGAATTGTGAAAATATACTATTGCAACCACTGTACAAATCTGTTGTAGCTTCATACACCTACCTTGTCAATGAAGTACATGGCTACAGCTCTTTGTCTGATCTTCATCTCCTTGGATTTCCAATCTGCTATGTAATCTTCTCGGATCTTGTCTATACTCTTGGCCAACTTCCGTGCTGTCTCGTATTTCTGCCAGTCTTTTTCACCTTTCAGTTTGGATGAGGGATTCAACATGATGTATTTCACTTGGCCCTGTACATTCTCAGTCCAGCTGGCTAACCAAGTTACCTGCAATAGAAAACAGGTCAATTGACAATGCAAGGTTCTACAAATTGAAAAATATATTGAATCTTGAAATACATTTATTTTCATGTTGTGTGTTTTTTTCTGAATCACTGTGATATAATATAAATGAGTTTATACATTACCTTAATCACCAAGTGATCCATGTAGTCCAAAAATAGGATTACGTACGTTTCGACGTCAATGCGTCATTGACAAATCTTACAAAAACTGTTTAAAACCATAAGGGTCACGTCATAATCTTTCCGACACACACGTACAAAACACAATAACGGACAAAAATACATTTAAGTAGGCCTACTAACTAATTTGTGGTAAACAGTCGTCACAACATAGTACAGGTCTGTACAGGTTACAGCTTTGTCTTGGTTAGGCGCTCACAGCGTTTATGTGAGAAAAATAACCTTGAAAACGCTGCACATTGATATTGGTGAAGCAAAACATCGTAGTTAGAGAACTTTAGTCTGTGATTTTTTTTGTATTTGAATAAATGTGTGTTTGTGTGTGTACAATGAACTGTGGTGACAAGGACTGTGTTCTCCTGATTTCAATAAGGTGAGTGATGCCCAAAAATATTTATCTAACTGAATTATTGACCTCACCTAAAAACCATGTCATTTAGAAATAAACAACTTCCTGTTCACCTTCTTTTGTAAATTATAAGCCTAATCATAAAGATACACTTTAGCTAAACGTCAATATATTTCATGTTTATCTTTATAACAATTAAATTTAATCAAGATTAATTCAACATTTTATGAACTTTCTGTGAGTTTTAATCCTAGCTATTTGCAAAGAAATGTTTAATACAGTAAATAGATAAAACACATGTTAAATCAGAGAAATTGGAGATAAATCATAAAATTCCATGGGTTTTGGAAAACATTTTGGATCCAACTGAAATAACAGAGACTTTTCCAAAAGGTCAGGAATATTTGAAGTGTGTAAACACCCTGCGTTTAGATATAATTTCTAACATTAACAACTTACTGTGTTATCGTGCCGCACTTCCTTCCACTTGTGTCCAGGAGGAGGTTTGGGAACTTTGCTGTCTTTGCTGCAGTTGATGATTATATCCTCCGCCACCACTCTCTGCTTCAGCTTCCCCATCTTCGGATGCTCTCCTCGTCCTCTGAACAGTCCCGGGGGTTCTATCTTGAAGTTACCGATTTTCTCTTTGTGTCCATCAATAGTGCAGAAGCCATACTCCTTCTGCATCTCTTCATTTTTCTCCTTTATCGCCTGAAATTATATGGTTGATGATAACTACTACACTGGCAAATAAGAGTGTACACGGTAGGCCTACTTTAAGTAAAAGAAAGAAATGAATGAACAGGCTATAGGTTAGATTTATGTAATGCTAAGAAAATGTTGTACATTTTAAGACAAAGATAAGTGAAAAGGAGTGTTGGATGAGCGAGGTAATAGCTTTATAAAAGATAAAGCTTTGTAAGATAAACAGTGGTTTCTTTAGGTAGGATCAATTATTGTAAAAAGATAAATGACAGCTGGGTCCAGTTGACCAGAATTTATGTGCAGATTCACAATCACTGAGTACAGTACTTAGTTGTCAGCACTGTATATTGAAATGCTGAAATTAAATTAAAAGAAGATTCTTAATAACTTGGCATACATTCATTTGACTTGAAAATGAACCTTTATCTAAGAACCCATTCGTCTATCAAAAAGATACTCAAGGATTCAACTCAATTACTGCTTTAACGTTCATTTCGATGCAGTGGAACCTTGATAAGAAGACCCTTGATAACAAGTCACCCTTGATAACAAGTGTCATTTTCAAATCCCCTTAAAATTATTTTACCCCTAATCACATGTTGTTACAAACCTCGATAAGAAGTCAACATTGATAACAAGTCTTATTTTACAATCCCCATGAGAGTCTTGTCATCAAGGTTGTAGGCTACGGTATTTCCAAACAAACAATAAATACCTGAGGCTAAAAACTCAAGCGAAATTCACTCACCTTCTTTTCTTCTTTACTCATTGCTTTTCTCTCTTCAGACAATTTGATGAAGTAGGCGTGCATATGTTTGAAATTGCACTTCTTCAACGATGTTATCGTCTCTTGTTCTTGTCTGGTCATTTTCTTCCTCCAGTCATGCATAAAATTCTTGTTAAAGGCTTCCTTGGTTGTATAGTCATGATCCAACATCCTAGCGTAGAATGTGGCTATTTCTTCAGCCTCGGTGGAAAGTTTCATCTCCTCTCCTAAAAATTAAGTTTTTTAGTAAATTGTAATCATAACACAATCCTAGTAATACGTTCAGAGAATTAACGAACAAGCTTTAAGACTAGGATAATAGAACAAAGTACAAAAATAAAGATTCAACTAAAGTACATATTCAAGTAAATACTCTCACAAATACATCAAGAACTCTAAACTATGATTAATAGCAAGCAGTCACAGCAATGGTATTTTTAAGATCCTTACCGTCATAGTAAAATTTGACATTGGGTGGAAGTGGCTCGTAAGGAGGGGCAAACACAGGTCCTTTATGTTCCAGGAAATTCCACTTTACACCATCCGGCTTCTTCTCTTCTTCCCACCTAGAAAAAATGCACTATTGCACCTCGGAAATTGAATATCAGAACTATTCATTATACCTGAACCCAGCAATATGCAACTATGATTTTAAAAGCGAAAAGAGGTCAAAAACATATTAAAACATAGGTTTTGAAAATTTTTCAAACTATGTGTTTTGATAGTCAGTTGTATTGGTCATATTGTTGACATTATAATGCGGGAAAGACGGTGTGGGAAAGAATTAGCTAGGAAAAAAGTGAGGTAATGGAGATCGAAGAAGAGCAGCTTTTAATAGCAGAATAAGCGCTGATAATGTAGGTGGAGTATTTGAATGAGTTACAATGTTTTCAACTGTTGGGAGGATGAGGCGAGAGATTACACTCACCATTTCCACACTTCTTGTTCCTCCTCTTCCTTTTTCTTTCTTCCTTTCTTTGGACTTTCTGTTAGGCTTGTTTCTGAAGCTTTACCTTTAGTGGATTTTGTTTCCTTCTTGATTTGTTTTTTCTTCTTTGCCTGTATACAAATGTGTCAGTTCAAAGCAACATATTATATTCATTCAGAAAAAATATTAATATACCAACCAGTATAAAATAACAACAAAATTTGAGATTTATTTTTAAGGTTAGAAGTTGTTTGAAAAAAATTTTGCAATGTTATTTTAAATTTCTGTTGATGTCTCCTTAGTGTTTTCAGACTCTGGGGACATCAAAATGAAAAAGTAAATCAGTCCCGGATCTAGGTCTTAATAGCTACTTCCCAAAATAGGAAAATTCGCTAAAAACTTGGTAAGCTAAAAGAAGCTGTGATAAAAATGATAGGAAAACAATTACATGATACAAGTGTAACAAAACAAGACTAACCGGTTTAAAGTCTTCTTCATCATCACTCTCTTCCTTTTTCCTCTTCTTCGCACTGCCTTCTTTCTTGGGCTTCTTGCGAGCTATCAAAGGAAGATCGTCTTCATCATCAGACTCCATTTCTCTTTTCATCTTAGCCATTCGAGCAGCCTGAAAATGAGAAACAATACATAGTTATCATTTATAAATATTTTTAAAGGGTTTTAGGGGCTAGTAAGAGCTAAGAGGCTACTAATGGGTACTTTAAGTCAGCCTAAGGAGGAGAATGGAAGAATTAAGACTAAGATGGATTGGACAAACAAAAAAATTGTAGAGGGAAATCCAATTATGATGGAGTTGATGCCAATTGTTAATATGTATCAACTATCAACCTATATTAAATATGGACATACCATTGTTAACAAAACATACAAAGACATACCACAAGTACTTGGAAAATTTATTTTAAAAAATATTCAAATTAGAGTCTCGCTTTCAAAGGGTAATTCACCACTCTTGTTTATATCCTTCAAACATAAGGATTCAGGGTTTTTACAAAACACAATTTAGACTATACCAGTAATTAATATTTTACTCACCATAGGCACATCATCATCGTCATCATCTTCCTCTTTGACGTTTGATGCATCAAAACTGCTCTCCATCTTGCTTTCATCATCAGTCGGCTCTTCTTTGATCATCAGCTTTCCATCATCATCATCAATATCCATGGACTCTTCCTGAAAGTGATGGTAAATATAAATGCATTTATTATCAATTTCATAGCAGTCACAACAGTAGGGGAGACCGGGGATACTTGATACATAGGGAGACTTGATACACCCCACCTAATTTATTACTCTATGGTTAGAATCAGCTGCAAATCAAACCAGATACTCTTTAGGTTGTTTCTAGTTTCCTGTGTTGTCTGGAATAATCTGCTGCACATGATCTGCATATGGTCTTGAAATATTTCATTTCCACACTTAAAAGTAAGTATTTCCTATATCTATATAAATGTGTCTCACGCATATAATTTATATTTTTTAGTTGAAATAACATGTTACATTGTAAGGTACATATTTAGTATATATGCTCTATCAACCTCAGCTCTTCTAAGTTAACCTCAAAGGAGATATGGAACTTGTTATGAAAAATGGTCATAGAGGGACACTTGATACAGTTTTCAAAGGGATATTTGATACACTGTATCAAGTCTCCCTATATTCAAATTCATCTTCTTTAGCCATTTTTTATAAATGTTTGTTATAAATATTTATATATCTGTGTCAAATACTGTTGGTTTTATTGGCTAAACTTGTAAAATGACCACTTTAAGTTTAACCTATAACTATGTTAGCTTGTGTGATTTGAGTTTGTAGTTACCGGTATTTTGCCATTTATTTTTTATTTGTGTAGTTATTTACGGCCTAATAGGTCTAACTTAATTAGCCCACTTATAACCTCAGACTTTATGAGCCTAGGCCTAAACCTAGGTAAAACTAGGTTACAACACTAATCCTTTGGACTAACTTGTTACTACAAGTGTTTTTTTCTTTTTTTTTTAGATGCCGATGTTTTACAAACCGAAGCCTACTACCAATGTACGAAAGAAAATCTCATCTGAAACAATGGAGGCAGCTGTACGAGAAGTTGTTGACGATGGAATAGGATTGCGGAGAACAGCACTTAAGTATGATATCGACAAAATGACCCTTCAGCGGTATGTTAAAAAATTCTTGTCAAAAAATGCAGAACCATCTTCAATGACATTTGAGCCAAACTACCATCAACAACAGGTTTTTACAAAACAGGAGGAGACCATGCTTGATTTTCTTCCAGCCTCAACCACAGACAGACCAAACCCGGAGGCTTCTGAAGGAAACTCCTCAGACCAGCAACCCACCGGGCCTAATAACACGAGTTCAAATCCAGGAACGTCAAGCGATATTCCAACTGACAATTATTTATCTCCTGTAATAGGCCTAGAGATTGAAGTAACAAGTACTCCTGTCTCTAAGAACTTGAAAGAGAGAGAAGGGGAGCGCCACATTCTTACCCCTGAAGACATAGCTCCATATCCGAAGGCAGGTCCTAGGAAGGCCCAAAGAAAAGGTGGGAAGAAAAAGGGCAAAACTCTTATTTTAACAGACACCCCTGTTAAATTACAAATTGAGAAAGAAGTGAAGGAAAAGGAGGAAAAAAAGAATCAGAAGAAAGTGAAATTAAATTTGTTTACATCAAAAAGTAGGCCTGTGAAAAAATTTAAATCAAGCACAAAACATACGCAACCCTCATCTGAAGAAGAAGAGTGGGAGTCAAGTGGGAGTTCCAGTAACTTTGAACCAGAACCACTGTCGGAAGAAGAAGATAATTCAATAAATGTTGGAGACTGGGTGCTCGTAGCCTATAGGTCAAAGAAAAAGGTTCGTAGATTCGTGGGAGTCCTTAAGGAGAAAATTTCTTTTGATGAATGGAACGTTAAGTTTGCTCGCCACATCGAAGGCAGTAAGTTTAAGTGGCCTGATTGTGAAGACATCAGCTGTATCGATGACGGTCAAATTGAAAAAAAACTGTCACCACCCAAATTTCAAGAAAAAAATGACAGATTGACGTTTTCTTTTCAATGAAAAATTTGAAGGACTATGTATCGAATAAGACAAAAATTATCTTGACTTTGTTATGAAACATGGCCAATATCCGATGTATTTAAATATATCTATAAATGTTCTTCAGGTGGCCTAGTTATATTGTTAACGAAAGTAATGTTTATTTTGTGAAGGAAAACCAATTTGTAAGGTTAAATTTTGTCTTTTAAAAGTTCAATTATAGCCTAGACTTGTATTTTTAATATAACTGTAAGCTGTTTTTTATACTTTTTGAATAAAACCATAAACATATCTTGTGAGTTCTTACTATTATAACCAATTTAACCCTGTGTATCAAGTGTCCCCAAAGCTGTCTCAAGTATCCCACCCCTGGGGAGAATTGATACACTTTGCAGGCTTTTATTAAATAAAAATAAAAAAATATATAACATGATTTTTAATGTTTGAAACTTTGGGTTTAGCTAACCAAAATGTTCTGTTAACAGAAAAAACTGGTTAGGTGGTTCTAGGGAAAATAGGAAAAAATAGAAAAATATAAGTTATAAAACTGTATCAAGTATCCCCGGTCTCCCCTAATCTTCAAGAATCAACAGAATTAGGTTTAAACAAGGATTTTATTTTTATCCTTACATTAAAAACTAATTCAAGAATAGCTCTTTGAAGCTCGTTGTACAACACCGAATTGAAACACGGTAAGCCCTTTTTCACACATCAAAATGAGCTCTTTGGTGTGCAACTATTTTCCAAATACCTGTTTTTTAAGACCATATTAACCCCTCTCGAGCTTAATGTATTACCAGCGATTCAATTCTACTTGAGCTGCCACCGTTTGTTTTAAGTGTTCCTTATCCACCTAGCTCTGCCACAAACAGCACAAACTCCTTATGAGTAGCAAACTAGACGAGATTGAAAACTCAATCTGGAGAGACAACGCTTGAAATCACTTGCCCCTAGATTAGGCCCAAGTACGTTTACCACACTATCAACCCTGATCAACCAAAATAGTTTCAAGCTTGACTTCTAGATGTCAGCACGACATGTATAGGTCTCAACAGTTTTTCTACATACCTTTATTGATGTTTGGAAGGAGAAGCTCTCAGGTTCCTCTTTTATCGGGGAAGTTTCACTTTTGATATGTGAGGTATCTGAGAAAAGATTATATGTTAGCATGATTGATGTAACAGAGTATCTTAGAAAATACTGAGGTATTTCTCACAATTTGAGTCACCTAACTTTCAAGAAGTGAGGAGTTCAAGGGATTATTTTACAAAAAGTAAATTTTGAGATTAAGTTTAAAAGTCTGAACCCTGAGAATTTTTTAGGTTATAGTGTTTTAGTTTTTAGAAATCCTTCTTATCAAGTAATATAGGCCTAAATGTCCTTCATGTTAAATAATTTTCCACAAGGTATCAAACTAAAATACTGGCATAGGCAAATTTTATTATAAAATATATATCGGTATTTGATTTTTTTTTTCGGTAACTTAGAATTTTTATCATGTTAAAAATTATTTTTGTTTTCTTGATATTAAAGAGGGTTATCACACATGGTATCAAAACAAAATTAATATAGGAACTATGCCATATGGTAATATCTTATTTTAAACAGGAAGAATAAATGTCTTATGTACATTCGCATTGAAACACTATCAATACTTACTATTACTATATAAAATACTATCCGTTATTAATACTTTTATATGAAGCAAATCAATATCTCAGAATATATCATATAAATTTCAAGAATTTTGAAAAGTTTTACTTAAAGATTAATTTAAATGCGTACCAAAGATAATTTGAATGATTATATTGGAGTTTCATACCATGGGCATACATGTTTACCAACTTCTATTAAACTAAACTACACTATATAAAACAAAAACTTAGTGTACTCTGAATATAAAAACAGTAAGCTACTGTTGCAGTGTAAACTGTGCAGCAAAACCCTGTGTTTTTGGTGACTCAATCCTTACTTAACTGCATTAGTTACTTTATTACAACGGTGTCCCGATTAGGGGAATTCTATATTATTAGGTTCAACAGTAAAAATAGAGTACCGTACTATAAAATGCTCTCAACTAAAAAAATTGTCCAAATGTTGTCATGAACAAACTAATGATTCTAAGGCCTTTAGTCCATTATTAGCCTTTTTATGGGTGTGATCAGTGCTCGATTTAAGGGGGAATGGAGTTCCAGTACCTCTCTTTCGGAAATATAAAAATATTGGCATAAATAGGTAGGCCTACTAATCACATTAAATAGGTTACAGTTCCAGCACCTCAATTTTTACAAATCGAGCACTGGGTGTGATGGTGTTTACATTTATTCTTTAATTGACTCACCATTGTGACAAATAGCAATAACATGTAACACATGAAAGAAATACAGACAAATTCTAAGCAGAGAATGATGAGCTGCAAAAAACACAAATAACCTAATTCCACCCAGTATTGAATGGGTTTGTGCCACCATTTGAACATAAACCTCTCACACACAGGTGATTGTGCTGCCTCTGACAGGCAGTCAGTTTAAAAGAATTTAATCTGGTTCTGGTGTATCACGAGATAAGATGGCATTGTTGATCAGATTATTGACAAGACAAGAAATATAAACAAAGTGTTTGGGCTGAAGGGAGTTCAAAGTGATTGTATAAGGGAAAGCTACAAAAAACCACCTCGTAAGGGTAATTTTGTAAATGTCAGATTTATAAACAGGTAGTTCATGTAGTTTTTAACCTAGCTTGGTGGTGTGTTCAGTGTTGAATAAATGTAAACATGCTCTAAATAAAGGGACATTGTTGGATAATCCTTATTTTGAACCATCTTTCAGGGACTACGCTATAAGGCTGTTGATAAAATTTATAGTTAATCGAGAGCAACTTTATAAGTTTGAATGGTAAAAAATTAAACAAAAATCAGGGCTGTGCTAATGGTTAAAATAACAAATAAAATCTGAATCTTTTTAGAGATTTGATTAGGATTCGAGAACGAATCTACTGTTTCTAACTGTATTGGGATTCAGAATCAATATTCAAATTCACCGGAAAAAGATCCGGATTCAATCATCAATTCGTCAGTTTAAGAACCAAAAACAAATGGACACCAGACTATTGCTTCTAAATAAATTACTATACGTTGAACTGAGTTTTTTTAACTAAATTGGACTATTGGGACTAATTAAAAAATACGGATTTGACTCAGATTCAATAAAATCTGTACAGCTATGATTCTGATTCTGCCCAAAATTTCTGGATTCGCACAGCTCTGAAATTTTTTTTAAGGATTACGAGTACAGTAGACTCTCTCTTATCCGGACACCTTATAACCGGACATCGGTTTAACCGGACTACACTCGGCGGAAATGACATCTCTTTAACCGGACAATTTTTATCAGCACATTGGTTTAACCGGACTAGATCGGCAAGAAGTGGGCAGTACTGAAACAACTGTTCTCTTGGGAAAGATTTGAGACCAGTGATCACGTGTCTAAATACAATGCTCTCCTAAATTTAAGTCGAATATCACAGTAAACAGTCCGTTTTAACGAGTTTTTGGGGACATCGGTTTAACCGGAAACCCCGTTATCTGGACTGGCCTCGGTCCCGAGGAGTCCGGATAAGAGGGAGTCTACTGTATGCAGTTACTAAGCCAATAAAAAAAAATAGGAAAATGTATACATCTACAATAGGTACTTTATTTGAACCAAATGTAATGTTTAACATACCTAAAATAGAGTCTTCAGCAGACTTATCCTTTTCCTTTGCCTTCTCCTTCTCTTTGTCCTTAGATCTTTCTTTATCTTTGTATTTATCCTTCTTATCGGAACTATGTCTGTCTTTGTCTTTACTAGAGCTGGAACTGTGCTTTTCCTTTTCTCTGTCGGATTTGTGTTTATCCGAACTATGTCGCTCCTTATCCTTGCTGGAACTAGAGCTGTGCTTATCTTTACTGCGTTCTTTGTCTTTGTCACGATTTTTGTCCCTTTCTTTGTCCTTTTCACGTTCCTTATCTTTATCCCTATGTTCTTTGTCTTTGGAAGTGCTTTCTGAACTCGGTTTGGAAGAACTACTGTGTTTACTGAAATCAAAGTCATTTAAAAAATTAAAACATTTAATAAAGTTACAACCATTAAAAGCCATAACAGCCAGTGATACAAAATTACATGGACTTTTGAGAACTTTTAGCACCCTAATGAAATACTGACAATTTTTCCTGGAGATTGGAAATATGGTAGCTGTAGACATCCTGACACTTGAGGCAGTGTATTGAAATATGGGATGGATTAAATTAACACTAATTATTTTTAAACTACACACTATAAATAAATGTTACCAGCCTAAGTTAATCTGTATCTCACTAACAAAACTTTTCCTATGAAACACAGTTATGATGTGTTGGTGTTCAGTAAAAGCTATTTACTTACATACTTAACAGCAAACTATCCTAAGGACATGGATGATTATTAGACACATCTTCTAACAATATTCAACATACCTACTGTAAACATTTACAGGATGGTAAATATACAAAAAAAGATTTATAGTGATAGCCTAATGAATTTTGACCAGTAACACAGGTGTTCATCAGGCCCAACAGGGGAGTCTCTCTGTGTCTTTAAGATTGACTGTTTTGTAGGCTACATGTAATAAGGAGGGGGGACGAAAACACGATAACAAATTTAAGAGGAAAACTTGGATAGAAGATCTCCTAGATGCCTGAGAAAAAGGTGAGTAGATGAAGCAGCTTGAGATACCTACTAGAATATTAAGATCCGATGAAGAAGACACACAGGATTGGAGCAAGTAAAGACTAAACGGAGACAGTTAGTTGGCGAGGCTTAGTAATTAAATGGGATTAAAATTTTAGCAATATGCATAAAACACCACAAATACAAAATGCAAACAACATAACTTACCTGGAACTAGAACTTTTGTGCTCTTTATCTTTGCTTGAACTGCTGCTACTTTTGTGATCTTTGTCTTTTCTTTCTTTGTCATCATGATGCTTACTCCTTTCTTTATCCTTTTCTCTATCTCTATCCTTCCTATCTTTATCTTTATCCTTAGAACTACTACTACTACTGTGTTTGTCCTGAAATAAATGCATAAGATAAATAGTATAAAAACAATTGTTTTAATTGTTGGCCTACAGACAAATTTATTGCTGATATTCACATCTTTTTAACTATTCTTTTTAATCATTCAAGAGGTTATAAAAATTTATTGGATAAGGGACGGATTAATGGTTTTTTTATTATTAAGAACTATAGGCTTGTACCTAAATACCTATTTAACTTGTTCTAGGTATGTATTGATATTTTTTTAAATGTTAATCCATAAACAGATATCCTCAAAAATAATATTAGGCTACATTCTGAATGATCTTAATATACCGTAGGCTATTTTTATATTTATTAGTAACCACGGGGGTTTAAGAGGAAAACTATTCACAAGACGTTAGGTTTTCTGAGGGTTCTATTTCTATACAATTGTTCCATACAATCAAAATTATGTACATAAAAAAATGTATTTAAATTAGGGATGGTCAAGTCTCGAAATTTCGGGAAATTTTTGGGAAATTTTTGGGAAATTTTAAATCTTGTTACACAAGACGAGATTTCTTTTTGGCCAAGATTTTTATCAAGACGAGAAAAAAAAAAAAAAAAAAAAATTAAAAACGCCTGCAGAAAGTCAATGCAATACCCGCAATACAGGAGCGTGTTGTAGTTGCGTTTCCTTTGCGAAGGCGTTCTTATTTAATTAATTCTTTAAATGTAAATATTACTTTAATTATTTTAATAATATTACTTTAATAACATTTGAGAAGTTTTGTTAAGTGTAAGGAGTGTGAGGAATGTTTTATTAATATAAAAAGTCAAAACAAGTAACTATTTTATAAAAATAAAATTGCTTTTATTTTATTATTTAAATTTTATTTTAGGATAAGTTGAACTCTATCCTAACTGATATCACTATGTTTCCTAATCGTAGGCATTTTTAATAAGTTAGGTGTGATTAATAAAAAAATGTTGTGCTGATGTTTTTTAATAAAAGATTGTAAATATTCTTGCCTATGATCATTATTTTTGTATTTAAACAGTCATCTAACAATGTTACAAAATCAGGTAAAAATTTTGAACGTGCATTTCCCGTTGCGTATGAAAAGGGAAATCCCGTCTCGAAATTTTATGAGAAATAAAAAATCCCGTCTCGTCTCGAACTAAAAATCCAATCTCGTCCATCCCTAATTTAAATATAAACTATTTGGTAGTTAATGTTATAATATTTGATATTTAAAGTGAAAAACTTACTTTGCTAGAAGAACTTGAATTGTGCTTGGATTTATCACGATCCTTATCCCTTTCCTTGTCTTTCTCTTTGTTTCTATCCCTTTCTTTGTCCTTATCTTTCTCCCTTTCTTTGTCTCTGTGTTTATCCTTGTCACGATCCCTTTCCTTGTGCTCCTTGTGTTTCTCTTTGTCCTTATCCCTGTATTTTTCTTTATCAACGTCTTTGGTTCGATGCTTGTCACGATCACTGTCCCTATGCTTGTCTTTCTCACGATATTTTTCCTTGTCATGTTTATCCCTATCCTTATGTCTTTCTTTATCTTTCTCTTTGTCATATCCATTTGAAAGACCGTTCACCATAGAATGTTGTTTGACATCACCTGAAAAAAGTTGAACAAAGACATGAGAACAATCTAACGGAATAACTGTTGGAAATGTATACTTTGTGTTTAATTAGTTTACAGTTTCTTCATTTTTTATCTCACAATCAATGGTCTGTAACAATAGTATTTTAAGAGGTTTTTTAGTGAATTTCCCTATAGGGAAGTACGGTATTACCGTAGGTGGAACGGTTAGACCTAGGCCCAGGATCGATTTACTTGTTCATTTTGATGTCCCCAGAGGCAATCAGACAAATTGAAATTGGCTTAGCCTGCAGGTTTGCTGGGGCAGGGGCATTTGAAGTACCTAAATTACAATAAGTTAACTCTTTAAATAAATAAATCTTTATTGTCACATAACGTTTACCTAATATAGCAATGCTATTAACAAATGACATTGTCAAAATACAAATACCTCAAGACTAAGGAGCTATACATAAACAATACATATACATAAAATAAACTAAAGCTATAAAAATTACCCCCGCCGCAGCAAACCTGCCGACTAAGCGAATTTCCATTTGTCTGAATCGATTTTCAATTAAAATCTATTTAAATAACATTAGGTTTAACGAGTACCTAGGTTTACTATAAAGTGTGTTGTTTGGTAAAATATTAATAGTTTAGAAGGCCTATAAAATAAATAAATTTGCCAAGTTTAATAAAAATATATCCATAAACAAGCAAACTACAACATTTTACAATATTCTCCCTAACGGGGTAACTATACAAAAACACTTTGATAATACTAAATTATTTGTTTTTTAAGCTAGGGAAATTCACTAGTTAAAGTAGTTTAACTTAATTGCAGAAAAAATTATCACAGCCACTTTTTTATTAGCCTATATTTCAAGTTAGGCTACCTGAGGCAAGTAACCTGCTTGCCAACTGCTTTGTGTAAACGCCGCTTTTCAGAAGATGCATTAAGAATAAGTTACCGTACTCTTTTTTTGTAAAAATATCCTTGTGGGGGTTTCAATTTTACCCTGAAACACCAGTACCTAACTTTTAGTATCATTTGGCCTCCCACAAATACTAGAATAAAACCCGGTAAGTTATGGGTCATAAACATAAACAAATGACATTGTTGGCCCGAATCCTATACTAATAGCATTAACGTTTTGGCAGTTCCATTTAAGCAATGTTGATTTGATAATCGACTAAAATAAAATTAGGTTAAATTATTTAACCTAAGCCTTGAAAGTATAAATCAGAAGATTCTGAGGACGATATTTCTATCAAAACAGTAGGAGTTTTCACTTGATATAACTTAAATATTGATTGCAAGTTATGCTTTTCAAAAAGACTTGATAATACGTGCTGTGGCGGTTAACTTATTTTGGTTTGGCTTAGTTAAGTTTAAGATAATAACAAACTAGGCCTATGTAACGTTTATACACACAAGAGTTGATAAATAGGCTATTTATAGTAATTGTTTTCAAACAAAAAAATTACACTTAGTTTTGTTAGCTACTTAACCTAAGTTAAGTTAATGTTAAAGCTACAGCACACTGTAATAGATTGGTGGGCGATAATCTACTTGATAATCCCCATAAATTAACAGAAAATCAATATTAAAATTGAATATAAGCCTACGTAACTTTAAAAGGCTATTGATTAAACTTGCTATATTTTAAGTTTAATCGATAGTTTAGCCCTCCGAGTGTCCCTTGTTTTGGCCTTAATGTCTGCCTATTTTTTGCTCATTTGCAAGGTTTTATTAAAACGGATCTGAGAAGCTTGAAAACAATGTTAATTATACTGTTCTATATACCATTTTGTTTGGAAAATCATGGGCTTCAATATTATACATAGAACATAAGGAACATTTGTTTCAAAAAAATTTTTAGGTAAAAAAAAATATTTTGGAAAATTAAAAAAAAAAAATAAGTTTGCGCTCAGTGAAATTGTATAAATTATAGGCCTATAAATATTTGAGAATAGCCACTTTGTTCTAAATTTTATGAGGATTACAAACATATAATAATATAAGGAAGTAGATTTGCAAATAAATAAGTTATGGGCAAAAAACAGATTTCAGTACATAGCGTTTAGCTAAGAATGCATAGCCTAATTATAGCTAGGAATCTGGCTGATAATTTACATCAATATCACTACCTACTTCTTCAGGATCATCAACCAGCCCTTCAAAATCACTTAAGTCTTCTTATAATGCACCACGTATATCACTACTTTTGATTTTTAACACTAAAACAATGATAAACGTAATAAAACACATCAGTCATCGGTCCGAGGTTAACCGCTGCTGTTTACAAATACGCACGTCAGCTATCTGCTACAATATTTTCGGAACTAAAATGAATAGCGCTTAGAGACAGACCTCCGGAGAAAGCTCTGAATCTGTGAAATAAAACGATACCTAACTCGATCCAGTTCAATCCGATTTTGTCAGTCATAGAGCCTTCGCCGTAAACAGTGTTTTGTGAGTCGCTGCAGCGACACAAAACACTACACAAAGTGTGTTATGTGTCGCTGCAGCGACAAATAACACTCGGAGGGTTAGTAGGCTATATTAAAGTAATAACTTATTCCATCGATAATTGTGGATAATATCTTAAGTTCTCTTTGGAATTGTAGATTGATGTTTTTAAATTGATTGATTATACGATTTTTTAAATGTTTTTTGCAGGTTCGTACCCTAATCAACCGACTCTAGGCCTAGTCAGATTTCAAGGTGGCGTAGCTCTAACCAACATTCATAAAATGCATTTGAGTGTGGTCACGGATCTCTCTATTACCAAATAAATAAATTCAGCGGTCAACAAGGAAGGCATTTATTTGTTTAAATTGTTTATTTACAGTACAGTAGACTCCTTCTTATCTGGACACCTTTTAACCGGACATTGGTTCAACCGGACTACACTCGGAAATGACATCTCTTTACCCGGACAATTTTATCAGCACATCGGTTTAACTAGACTGGATCGGCAGGAAATGGGCGGTACTGAAACGACAGGTCTCGTATCAAAGATTAGAGACCAGTGATCACATGTCTAAATATGTAATAATCATTATCGGCTTATACAGTATGCATTTAAATGGTCCGTTTTACCAAGTATTGGGGGACGTTGGCTTAACCGGCAAAACCCTTATCTGGACTGGCCTCGGTCCCGAGGAGTCCGGATAAGAGGGAGTCTACTGCAGTAACATTTTCTTTACAGCCTATTAAGTACCTTTGATCCCATTTAAGGTTGTCATATACATAACTTAATGTGGGAAAAAGTGGAGATTTAAGTTAGTTGGAAGATAAAAAATAAGGGGACAGCAAAATTGGTGGAATAGGCTTTCAATAAATTTCATGCAAATATATTTGATTATGTTAATGTAATCATTAAAAAAAACCATCTACAGCACTATTTGATATTAAAATTAGGCTTAGGACGAATACAAATAAACCATTGCTATTGCTGAAATAGACCTACAACAGCAGTCTCGATTTTTAAATAGGTATGGGTAAATTTTTTAAAGTCATAAGCTGTCATTGCTCATAAAAAGATGAGGTTGAAACTGTTAATTACTGAGAAAAACGTGATTTGAGGTATAGCATAAATAAATCTGGTCAAAAGGGACATTTTAATTAACTTATGTTATTTTATAAAACTGTTATCTAACTCGTAATAGGTAATTGAATACATGTGAATAAAATGTTGTGGTTGTTCAAAGAATTTTAGCATTTAGGCCTAGTTTGTCTGCAAAATGTTAATTTCCCGAGAAAGTGCTCCATTCAACCCGAGTAGACACGTTAAAGTTTTGACATTGCAGTCTAGCCAAGAATTGTTCATTCATCCTCCGTGAACCTCCTTATTTAAATAACATGTAAAGTTTATCTGTTCTCGAAGACTGAAGACGGAACTTGCTGGCTGTTACTTAGACCTTTCTACAGCATCGATGAATATTTGTCTTGGCAAAAACTTGAGTGACTATGTTATGAGTTAAATCATCTTTCTACTGCAAGGATTCCAATCAACATAGATTTTTAATTGGCAACATATTGTATTGACACCTTTTTCAATCTTAAAAATTGTAAAATAAAGTAGGCTACTCTTGTATTCTTGTGTTCTTGTCCCCTCTGTAGAGGTTATAGAGAAACTTAATGTAAATAAGTGAATTCAAATGATAGAAAAACAACATCTTTATATATAATTCTGTAAGACAAAATTTGTACCAGAAAATTGTGGACGTTTGGTAAGTCGCAGAAAAGTGGGAAGGGTCTAAAATTAAAGGTCTTCACCCCAGGGACTCGGGGAAAAAAGCAGAATTCCCATAAAGTTTCCAGAAAACGAGATATAACGTAAATTATCCACCATAAGAAAAGCATGGGGACTGAAAAACGTCTGCATTCTTATCAGCTGTTACTTATTTATTTGGAATTTTTGTTTACATTTATTCCGAAAGTCAATGATGTTAAATAATATTTCAAAATGAAATGTATTTGTTTAATTTTTTTGTTTTGTTTGATGAGTGAAGTAACTAGACAGGGTAGGGAAAGACCTGCAAGACGTGGAAGAGAGTATTCAGGAATTCAACTGTCAAGAAATTCTGAAAGAGAAATTCATGTAAATTTAAATTATGTTAATTTAAATTCATGTAAATTTAGTGCTCTGTGCATATAAGGCCTAACTATGAAAGAAATCCACAAGCTGTGCGTTCAAGAATGCTGGAAAATTAGTTGAGTGTTGTTTCTCACAATCTAGGTCCTCTTAACAGCACTTGCATGTATTGTGGCGCATTTCACTTTGCAGAGGAGGCCACAAATGGACATTTCAACGCATGTTGCCACAATAACATGTCACAACCACAAGTAAATGGCGAACTAAAAGAACTGTTTTCACATGGTTCTAACTTCATAAAAAACATAAGGCAATACAACAGTGCAATGGCCTTTGCGTCGCTTTCCGCTACACAAAAAGAGATTCCGGGAAATGGGCCTTACTACTGTGAAATGGGGAGTTGCCTTCATATGGACAATTGTGTCTAAATTTAGGGGCTATGGCCCCTACAGGCCATTAGTTATCTAATAATAAAAACTAAATGTGCACATAATTAAAACAAACCTTATATCTATCCCATCAAATAAATACAAAATGTGAAAAGAATAATTATACCTACAGACAAATAAAATGGAAATACTGTACAAGAATGATTTTGCCAAACATCGATCTTAACACTTGATTTTATAAGCAATTATAAACAAAAGCAGGAGGGTAGAATAAGAGCTTCGCTTCGCTCTGCTCAAAAAGCACTTGAAATATTATAACATGGATAGCCTAGGAGTTAACATCAATAATTGAGAGCCCTCTCGATTGGGATAAGTTAATCCTATTGATGATCTACTTCTAATATAGTCATTGCTTCTAGCAAACAAATACTAAAATACTCTCTTATTGTTTTGTGTTATAACTATATATGATTTTAATTATTTACAAACATCTTAATTAGGCCTATATATTTTATTTGTCTTTTATATATATTCTATTATAAATTACCATACTCAAGTTGAAAGTGAAGCACTATTATAAAAGCGCTTAATCAGGTCTATCAGTCAAAACAAAACTTAAATTGTTCACACCAAGTGGGAATATAATTTGAAATAAGTCTTTCCGTCAATGAAATCTTTGAAAAATATTTCATTTTTCCATGTAAGTTCGGTAGGTAGCCTACCGGTACTGGAAAGTGTAGTATACTCATCACCCATTTCAATATAAGAATTTATTATCTTGTTTTAAAATTGGTTTGCTGATATAGCACTATAAGATACAGGGAAGGTAAAGTGTGTTCTTAGTAAAATGTCCTTAGATTAGTGGTTTATTGAATTGTACAAAAAATTAAAATTAAAGTCAAATATCCATTAACAAGCCAAACTACAACCAACAAGTTTACCTAATATTTTACTTTTCAAAACATGTTAATTTTTATTCATTTTTTATGAATTTTTCAACTTACCGGCAACCATTTAGCTATCTTTAATATAAGTTACTAGATTATCTGTTTTTTTAACATCCAAAAAATGATTTACAAAGATGTTTGAAGTTTTTTTTAGTGTCAAACATGAGGAAACCTAATTTTTACCTGTTCTCATAGTCCGATCATGCTGGTTCGCAAACTCGTTACAACAAACGTTGGTTTACACGTTTGTACCAAATTTCATCATAAAATCGGATGATTTTGACTCAAGTTAATAAATTATATGTGTATAGGCTATAATTATATGAATTGAACTGATGGTGTAAAAGGCTTCTGTGGACCTCAAAATGAATTAGTAAAAACTGTATCAGCAATCCGACACATACTCTCAGCCATTCAATAACTTTAATCATGGATAAGCAATGGGAGTAACTATGTGATACATATTTTATAAGGAAAATCACAAAAGTTGCTATAACTTATGAACTATAATTTTTACAGCAATGGGAGGTTACGTACTATTTTGTTTGGAGTTACTGTAAAGCGGGGTTACTTGAACACACTTTTCAACTTCTGATATGAATATTTTCTAAAATATTTATAAATTTTCAATTGTTTTTAGATAGGCTCTATGGACTCACCTAGGAGAGTACATTTACAATATTTTAATTTTGTATACATAGGCCTACCTATTAATTATATTTTGTTTGTTGAAAAATATATGCGGTTCAAGTCACCTCGTGGGTCGGGGTGACTTGAACACAGCATATATTTTTCAATGTTGTATGCATTAATGTACAACCTTATGGAGTTACTTGAATACACTGTAAAAGAGCTTTCAAATGATATTATTTTAACCTATTTTAAAAATTGTTTATATGAGTTATGAACAATTATTGTTCGAAAAACACATATAGGAGAGTACATTTACAATATTTCTATTTTTTATACATATTAATTATATTTTTTAATGTTATTATTATGTGTATGCATTAATGATAATTTTACAACCTTATGGGGTTACTTGAATACACTGTAAAAGAGCTTCAAATGATATTATGTTAACCTATTTAAAAAATTTTTATATGAGTTATGAACAATTATTGTTCGAAAAACACAAATTCTCCCAAGAAACTTTAAAAAAATCATCACAAACTTGTTTTAGAAGTAAAACATATTTTACCTTAAAATGATGTGGAAGAGTTGTAGTTTCATAGAAAAAATTAAACCTATTTTTTTCGTTCATTTTAAGTATTTTTTTCTTATACCAACGAAAAACATCATTTTTCCACCTGCCCACGGGTCAAGTGTTTTTGGTCTTAATTTGATAATAACTGTAAAATTTTAAAACTAAAATAAATTATGAACATTCTTTGTACAATATTTACATTAAGGACCTTTCACTTCTAGGTTTTCAGTTTTTGTTATGCTTCTGGCGCCATTTAGTGATACAGTAGAACCTCGCTAATTTGAATTTCAGAGGAAAGACAATATATTTCGAATTATAGCAATTTTGAAATATAGAGAGTTTAAATTATAGAGGTCATGGAATAAATAAAATTCGAATTATGGAGGTCCCAGTTGTAAGTGTGTAGAGAGTTTGAGAGAACGGAGACTAATGAACACATCGTGGAACATCAATAAGAGCGTCAGTTCATGTTTCAACAGGCATATTTGTTGTTCTAAATTCAAATTACAGAGGCTTGCGGTGACACAGTTTGAATTGTAGAGGTTGACTTCGAATTTTGGAGGTAACAATTCAAATTATGGCAACAAAATTTGAATTGTAGAGGGTCAAGTATGTACAAATTCGAATTGTAGAGGCTGCAATAATCGAAAAACTTTTTTGGGTTCAGGGGGTGGCCCTAAATGGATATATCCACTCAAACTCAAAATTTTAACGAAAACAATACTTTCTCCCTGTAGCCTAAGACTAAATTAAGTAATGTACTGTAAGTTAAGTAACTTAGGTTATAGGGGAGAAAGTAAAAATGAAATCGGTCCCTGCTGGTAGAGGTATGAGACCAACGGCAGCTTTACCCTTTAACCCTCCGAGTGTCCCTAGTTTTGGCCTTAATGTTTGCTTATTTTTTGCGCATTTGCAAGGTTTTATTAAAACGGATCTGAGAAGCTTAAAAACAATGTTAATTATACTGTTCTATATACTATTTTGTTTGGAAAATCATGGGCTTCAATAATTATACATAAAACATAAGGAACATTTGTTTCAAAAACATTTTTTAGGTAGAAAAAAAATAATTAAAAAAAATAAGTTTGCGTTCAATGAAATTGTATAGATTATGGGCCTATAAATATTTGAAAATAGCCACATTGTTCAGAATTTTATGAGGATTCCAAAAATATAATAATATAAGGAAGTAGATTTGCAAATAAATAAGTTATGGGCAAAAAACAGATTTTGGTACATAGCGTTTCTAAGAATGCATAGCCTAACCATAGCTAGGAATCTGGCTGATAATTTACATCAATAGGCCTATCACTACCTACTTCTTCAGGATCATCAACCAGCCCTTCAAAATCACTTAAATCTTCTTATAAGTTAATGCACCACGTATATCACTACTTTTGATTTTTAACACTAAAACAATGATAAACGTAATAAAACACATCAGTCATCGGTGCGAGGTTAACCAAGCTGTTTACAAATACGCACGTCAGCTGTCTGTTACAATTATGATAGGCTCGAGAAAGAAAAGCGCTTAGAGACAGACCTCGGGAGAAAGCTTAGAATCTGCCAAATAAAACGATACCTAACTCGATACAGTTCAATCCGATTTTGTCAGTCATAGAGCCTTCGCCGTAAACGAGTCGAAAAATCAACACAAAACACTACACAAAGTGTGTTAATTTTAAAGTGTGTCGATATTTCGACACATAACACTCGGAGGGTTAAAATTTTTAAATAAATTTGTATTTCCTGCAATGAAATGGTATACTTCTAGGCTTTGTCAGAAGTCAGAACTAACTTAACTTAACTTACAGTTTTAACGTAGTTAAGTTACTTAGAGGTGGGTTGAGTACATTAAGTAGGGTGGTGATATTTGAGCCCGACTGAAAACTCAATCCTCAGATTAGAAAGAAACTCAAACCCGATTTTTTGATACCGATAGTGTAACTTACACAATCCGATATCGATAGGCCCTAGTGTAAACTTAACTTAATCGCTGGGCTCTCCATAGATCGATTCAATCGTATTCTATCCGAATATCATAGTGAACCCTAGGCTATCCATATTTTTTCCATTTCCCTGGATAAAATCCATTAAGTTAGGCCTCCCTCGGATCGCGGCATGTAGGAGAGGTGGAAGTATTAAAAGCCTAAGTCTACCAAGAGGTGAGGTTATGACCTAACCAAACACGACGTAAACAAACTCCTAGGTATTAATTATAATGCACAATTATTTGAAACTAAAATAGGAATAAACTTAAAATAGCCTTAAAAAAATAGTTTTACAAAATCAGTGTAGGAAAAATCATCCTTGTTATAGCCTACTTCTGTCCGGCAATATTACTCACCATCAGAGTGGTTAACAGCTGTTTCAGAGTAGCCGTTCTCCTATAAAAACAAAATATATTAAAATAAATCTATGTTTAAATCAATATTTTCATCCCCCAGAACAAATTAGGAATGAAAAAACAAGTATATTTCACAATTCATTTTACACTACGTGGGACTTAGAAAATTTTCCTCATCGCCATGTTGGACTTAGAATATTTCACCCATCGGAGAGAGATTCCCAACTATATCAGTACATAACAACTTTGATTTAAGTTAAATTAGTTAACATTAAAGGAAGATTATTCCTATTTTACCTCGCTAAGAACAGCAGCGCCACCAGAACTATCGAGTGGAGATTCCATCTCAAATAAAATTAAAGTTTTACCACACGACCAAGTCGAAGAGAACGAGCGTTGAAGAGAAGAGAATACAAGTCCAGGAGACGCAGGCAGGCAGGGAAGCGGGCACTTCGGTCAAAAACTAAGTCAGAAAATGGCTCAGTGCGCATGCGCGTGGACATAGACGTTCGTTCGTGCCAATGCCCCTTTTAAACTCAACTGTGTGAATGCAGCAGTTCTATTCTCCACTTCCAGACAAAGGCTTCTCACCCGAAATCATAAATTCGTTTGCACCTGACGACGGATAACCGTTATGAATTCTAAAGTCCTAAATGTATTTACTAACTAAACTGTAGACTACATATATTTTATAGTTAGTATGACATTTTTTAAGTTATATAAACGTTATGGAAACTTTATTTTTTAATTTTTATTAAAACCTTCATGTTACTAAGTATTAATTTATTTTTCTTGAATGACACATACCAAAATACTAATTAGGTAGTTTGGCAAGGTATAGTTATTATTTAGTAATCTTTTAAATAAAATAAAAAAATGTGAGAAAGCTATTTTAGAATATTAGAAAGTAAACATAAATTAGTCAAATTTAAGATTTTAATTTTATGGTTGAATTTCAATTTTAATTGTTAGGAACTATTAATTATTTTCTTACTAAAACATCTTGTTCAAATTTACATAAATGAAGAACATTAATTTTTAATGCAGGAAACTATACTTACCTATTTTAATTTATTAATCAGGTTTCACAGGATAAATCTGAGATTTGTATGATATTGAAAAAAATTAAATGTACATATGTTTACCTACTGGTGTTCACATTAGGTAGGTAATGTACAGACGTAAACGCATTAATACAAACCAGCGTACCTGGCGAGCGAAATTGTGTGTCAAGGAGAAACATCTGTCCACCAAATGCGTCTGTAGGCAATCCTAAGTGTTGCTATTTAAAAAAATTAAGATAATTTAACAAATTATTTTATTAACAGATCTTATAAAATTTTTCTGTAAACAATATTTTGTGTGTAAACACGGTTGTCTCGACGAAATCGGCCTTGGTGTTCTCCATCTTTAATCCATCTACTACTTACTGCGACATACAGTTGGCCGTGATCAAACACCGCTTCTGGGAGAACTACTCCAACCTTACCCAAAGATTGGCCCTGTGATTTGTTTATATGGTCATAGCAATGCCACAATATTCGGGAACTGTGTGCGATGGAGACTAAACGGTACGGCAAACAGAGTATCGGATGAGCACATATGTATTCGTGGTATAAGAATTCATTTGTTTGAGCTCCAGTCAATACTTCACAGTCAATTGAATTACTATGCAATCTCTTGACTCTCATCCTTGTTCCGTTAATTAGACCTTTTGCTGTATCAAGATTACGACTCAACATAACCACGGCGTTCTCCTTCAACCGGCGTTCACTAGCCGGAAGTCCGCTAATTGATAAACTATTCAAGAATTCCGTCGGGTAGTTGATACCGTCGCTGCCGTCTTCTCTGAGTACCTTGTCAAAACTATAATAAGTTATATTGGCCTGGTATTTTCTCCAAAATTGTAGAATTTAGCGAAGAACAATCTTCGTTTTTCAGGCAGAGAATTGCACGATCAACGATTTCACTGCGCCTCTACCAGTTAAAGTTCGTCGTCCTCCTCCTATTGCCCATCCTGGTCGACGTTTTGTAGTCTCCATTACCGTATTTCAAAAGTTTTTTTATGTTTTGATTTTGTGCAAAAAGTTTTTTTTCCAACTACGGTAGTCTAGTAAATTCTTATAGCACATGTCTCCAATTTTAGTATAACCAGCTGTTTCAAAATATTTGTGTCAATTTCAAAGTATTCATCTGTTCAAATGTAAACAAACATTTTCTCCCTAAGAATAACTTGGGAACTTTGAAGGCCACTGGGGCAGAGCCCTGATGGAATTCCAACGTTTTTTGTTTGATGGCAAAACTACATGCTAAGACCTTTCTAACGACACCATGGACATGGTGATCGATAGCACAGAAAACATACTACTATAACCCAGAATGCCAACCGCGTGGTAAAAAGCGTTAAGTACTTTGAGAGAGCTTTGCCTGTCAATTCGTAGGCAGCGCCACCAGTGTTGCGGCATTCTGGGTTAAAGTAGTATGTTTTCTGTGTCGATAGCACCCAGGGCTACAGGTAGCACCACCGCTCCAAAACAATTATGACAGAAATATAGATTCTAACACTATCAGTAAACATCATCATAAATCATAGTTATTAATCAATTCTTCGGTATGATGAACACCTAGGTTTTTACAGTAAGGAACATAAAATCCATATTTAGGAGGGATATGAAATGCTCCAAATCTCCTTTTGCTATGCTTTGTTGCTTTCTGGGGTGTAAAAATTACCCAATTGATTTGGAATTTAGCCCTGATTCACTTTTACAAATTCAAGGTATTAATCAAATAATATTGATTATCCACCAGAATATTTAGTGATGATTGTACTGTATACACAGTATAAACTAAAAATTCTCAGTTAATACTGTTAATACTGTTCTATGAAATGGCGACTATACAAAGTAGGTATTTTAAGCAAAGTATGAATGGAGATGAGTGGCGCGATCTTGTAGTCTTGTTATAGTGACTAAGGCCGACATTCCCAGACACAACATGTCTATCGACAAGAATATCACTTTATTAAAGGGTTGAACATTTTGAACCATAAAAATATAGCTAAAAATATTGAATAAATATAATAAACTGTCTCATTGACAAATTATTCATTGATGAAGTTTTACATTTTTTCTCTTTTATCAGAAAAGAAATTAAATACCATCATTTATAAAAACATCATAAAAATTTTAAAACTTACATTTCGTAGCAGTAAACCTTTTTGATAACAGTAAAGCGACTTGTAGAAATTCATGCATCGACCTTCCAATTTTTATTCTTAGTTAAAGTTGTAAGACTTTTTTTTTTTTTTCATTGCACTCGTTAATCGGAGGGAGATTAACTCTTGTCAAATTCACATCAAATTTACTTTTTGTTCTACAGTAGACTCCCTCTTATCCGGACACCTTTTAACCGGCCTACTCGGCAGAAATGACATCTCGATCTCTTTAACCGGACAATTTTTATCAGCACATCGGTTTAACCGACTAGATCGGCAGGAAGTGGGCGGTACTGAAACGACCGTTCTCGTGGGAAAGATTTGAGACCAGTGATCACGTGTCTAAATACAATGCTCTCCTAAATTTAAGTCAAATACGCATTTAAAGGGTCCGTTTTTACGAGATTTGGGTTGTCAGTTTATCCAGAAAACCGTTATCCGGACTGGCCTCGGTTCCGAGGAGTCCGAATAAGAGGGAGTCTACTGCAGTATTTTTGTTAAGCTCTAGCCCAGAATTGTTTTCCACATTACTCGAGACTAGGCTAGAGTCAAGGCTTTATCGTTTAAAAATCAAATAAATTGGTGATTGCTAGGATTTGAACCCAGAACCTCTGGGACTGAGGTCCTACTATCTACCTTTTAGACCAGCTCGCTCCCCTGCATCATGACATAAAACCTACCTGAAATTATTACAGCCTGCGGAAGCTCAATTAGAATGACCACACTATGCTCCATTCACAAAATTTAGGCAGTCTGCGAGGATGTGATTCCATCCCCTCCTCCTCAATCTAACTTTGAAACAACAGCCAACGGCTTATCAGTTGTATACATCAATCTAAAAGTGGTGGGAGTACCCCCCAAAACCGTCCCACTGGCTAAATTTTGTGAACAAACTGTAGCTTGTTAGATTCATGCTGTCCAGTCCACACCATGTTGAAGGATCAAATCACATATCAATCAAACCTGATGAAACTCATTAACCAGTCATGTCGTAGTACTTGAGGATCCACTAAAATTAAATTCTGGATAATTCCCATTAAAAGTTGACCAATTTTGAACCCACTTTTCTCACCACACTGGTGAGAAAAAACTAGGTCTACTTCTTTAAAACTTGCTTTAATTGATTAAAACTATCGTTGATGAGAGATTAAAACTATTGATTAAATAATTGAATTATAGCAAAGTTACTTATAGGAAAGTAGCTATTACCGTAGGTCTCATGGTAAGACCTAGGCCCGGGACAGGTTTTTTTTTCATTTTGATGTCCCCAGAGGCCAAAAACGCCATTCGTTCAAAATGTTATATATGTGTCCATCCAGACAATAACTGAGTAATTTTTGTCCGATTTTGATTAAATTTGGTTTGAAGGTGTAAGGAGGGATAAACTTGAATGTCGAGTTTGTGAACCAGAATGGTCGGACCATGGGAACGGGGTTTAAGGGGGCGGTTTTATGGGGTGAAAATGGGATTTTCTCATTTTTTACCCTTAAAACACAAAATTTATCAATTTTTCTCTAGACCTTTAGAAAGAGCTTAAAAAACAATTTAGTATATCAAAGTGTTTTTGTACGGTTATTGGTTATACTGTCTTTAAAAAATGATAATTTAACACTTTTTAAATTAGATTTGAAATCTACTAAAAAAGTTATGAAAAATTATACTAAACTCGACCTATGTATTGGAACATCTATACTTATTTAATACGCAAGCAGGATTTTTGTGACAATTACTCCTCCGAAACTACTGAACCGATTGACATGATTTTGGTGTCACTGAAAAGAGCGTTACGTGAAGTTGTGCAGGAAACTTTCTTTTTAGGTAAATAATTAGAGAGTGAGGCCCTGGGGCCCTTTAAAGTTTCGTATTTCTCCATAAGATTAACATGGGAAACAAACATTGTTTTGAAACTCCAGCTGTTGTCAGAAATTAAAAATTAATTATTGGTCTCCATGGAAGCATGAGAAAATTCACAATGTTTACATTTGCTTTGACATTTAAATGTAAACAACCATAACTGTCAAATGCCTTTCACAATTTCAGACAGCTGATCCAAAAAAGATAAAACAACTATGTGGTATGTTTATTTAATCTTAAACTTTATGATAGATTATTTATTATAAATCTATTTCAATGATTATGAAACAGATTTTTCCCGTTGCGAAGCAAAAATTAATAGTGAGAAGAAGGACATAAAATGTTAATTGTAAACAGTCAATATTATGTAAATTATCTA